AGGTGATCCAAAATGAAGCCCTAAGATTCGTCACAGGTGAAAGATACCCCTTCACCAGAACCACAGCCGAGATACATAGAGACCTGAGAATAAAACCCATCAACCAGCGGCTGCACACCCTGGCCAGCAAAGTCTGGCAAAAGGTAGATCGATCAGAGCAAGAACTCCTTCAAAGACTCCCACCAGATAACGACAACAACCATACATGGTTCCCAAAAAGTTACCAAATCTCAAAAGGTCCATTACCACCCCCGATCTATACGGCCAGGCAATAGACAACCTCCCTAGACCAACATCCGCCAGTATGGTCAGCGGAATATGAAATAAGGCCCTCAAAACACCCATATATAGGATAGGGTAGGATGTCTAGTGCCTGTACCGACAGACAATAAATAACCCATGACACAACACTAACACATCATAGCTTAGCTAGGCGGTCAGCCCGCCCTCTCTTACCTCCTCCTAAATTTCTTCAATTTCCGAACTATAACTTCCTTCCCCCATTTCTAATCTTCTTAAACCCCTCCTTTCTCTACAAAAAACAACAACAACAACAACACCCCTCCCCCCCTCCCAGCGGTCCATCAACCAACACCCCCTCCTTCCCCCAAGCTGTCCATCACCCAACACCCCCCCTCCTGTGGTCCATCACCCACACCCCTTTCTTTCCCCTCCTGTGGTCCATCACCCAACACCCCTTCCTCTCCCTTCCTGCGGTCCATCACCTAGATCCAGCTCATAGCCCGTAAGTCGTCCAGGAGAAATCTACTGTACTGTATGTCCGGGTTGTGGTAGTCAGGTGGGGGACGGCCTGTGGAGAAGGAGGTGATAAGAGAATGAGGAGAAAGAAGAAAGAAATTTGTGGTTGGGTAAATAAAAGTTGGTTGAGTTACTGTATATTTGCTTCATTTTGTTTTATTTGATTGTAAGTTAGGTAACGTTAAGGGTCTCTCTCCCCCTCTCTCTCTGTCTCTCTCTCTCCACCCCCGCCAACCGACTCAGCACATCGACCTCCAAGTACCGACCCTCAAGTGAGAGTCCAACAAGTTTCCCCCTCAATTTGGCACATTCCAGAGCGCGTCCTGGCGGTTTATAGCCCAGCGGGGCTACTTATTCGGCTGTAACACGCCATCTTCACGCCACTCACCAACTTTCAACTTGGTGGCCATCACGAAGAAGGCAATTGTACCCGACGATTATGTGATGGCGTCGTGACATCACACAGCATCACTCATATGGCCATTTATAGAGGCTTGGTTATTGGTGATGGTGTTAGTATTACAGCAAGTGAGTCTTGGCTCCTTCGCGTACATATGTAGATGACTAACACTGATGACAGATGCAGTGCGGTGTCTCCGGGCTAATAAAAAAGGTTTCAGAAAAATGTATACAGTACAGTACACACTGTCTGACATATTACCGTCCTCACTTGTGGCAGACCTCGCATATCATCAACAAGTGACAGTTCTCCTCAAACACACAAGAGACACTGCCCTCAAGCACACAAGAGACAATACCTCATCACAAACTACCGTCGCCATTGTTACCCACATGACGTGAGCAGTAAACAGTTCACGTGGAGGTAGTTTAACACACACTAGGAACAACTGATGTTAGATGTTCTTTTTTCTCCAAGTAAACGAGGTAGTTCCTGTGAGAGCGTAACAAGCGTAGATAACAGGTCGTTGGGGTCGTTAGTGCCACGTGTAATTGGGTAGTTTGTTTAGGTAGTCATTACGTACAGTACTTCAATTGTCAGTCACAGGTAAGGTAATTAACTCCTTTTAACACACTGGTCGACCAACACCATCCGTGAAGTCTTAAGAACCCTGGTGGTGGGCGTGGTAGAGGGTGGGCGTGATAGTGGATGTAATAGTGGTGGGCGTGATAGTGGACGTAATAGTGGTGGGCGTGGTAGAGGGTGGGCGTGATAGTGGACGTAATAGTGGTGGTGGTGGGCGTGGTAGAGGGTGGGCGTGATAGTGGATGTAATAGTGGTGGGCGTGATAGTGGACGTAATAGTGGTGGGCGTGGTAGAGGGTGGGCGTGATAGTGGACGTAATATTGGTGGGCGTGGTAGAGGGTGGGCGTGGTAGAGGGTGGGCGTGGTAAAGGTAACCATTCTTATTCTCGACAGGCTCTCTTCCTGATTGCTTAACTGGTCCATGACAGTTAGTGAAGAATCTTTAGAGTGGTAACTGGATGTGGAGAAACATGACTGTGTGGCCGGGTTGAGGAGCTTTACAGGGTGGTCGATAAGAAAGACCCAGATCATGTGTTCTATTTTCACCACCCTGTATATCTTTAAGATGATGTTGTCCCTTCAAGTACTCTACCTATGCTCCTACTTGGAGTTATAATTCTTACCATCCCTCGTCAGTAAACGTCCATTTAAGTGGTTGACTTTAAGATGAAACTAAAAGGACAAAAGAATATAAGAATAATTAAATTATACTAAGACTTAACATGAGTTTAGTGTGTGTGTGTGTGTGTGTGTGTGTGCGTGTGTAGGCAGCGTGATAAGGAAGTTGTACAAGTCGTGATGTGGGTCTGGTCACGGCCAGGCTGGAGATGTGTTCTGACGATACACCTGCAGAAGGAGGGAGAAAAGAAGGGATGGATGCAGGGAAGGAGGGAGGGAGGAAAGGGGGGGGGGAGAACCCGAGAATAAGAGGGAGGGAGGGAGGGGGTACTTTCTCCAACGCATTCCTTGACTATTGTGTTTCTTGACTGGACTTAATGTGTTGATCTATTCACTGTTTTCCTTCTTCCTCCTCCTCTCACTCCTCCTCCCCTACTCTTCTTCCTCTCTTCCCCCATTGTCTGGTTCCTTACCTCCCTCACTCTCTACCTCATTCCCTTCCTCCCAGTCCTCTTCCTCCTCCCATCTACCTGTCACAGCGGGGAATGTACACGTGAACATTGACCAAATCTCACTCACATGAATTTTTCTCTCAAGCAGTCACCATCACCATCAGCCTCCCTCTCACTCCTCTCTTCGTCTCCGGCCCACCCCCCCTCGTCTCCCCCGACCCCCCTCGTCTCCTTTCGACCTCCCTCGTCTCCTTTCGACCCCCCCTCGTCTCACTCCCATGTCTACGGTTCTTCCCACAGTTCATTATTTTCTTCACAATTGTTACGTCTTCTTAGTACTCACACTCTCTTGACTTTTACTGTGTGCATGTTAAGGTGTGTGTGTGTGTGTGTGTGTGTGTGTGTGTGTATGTGTGTGTGTGTGCGTGTGTGTTCTGCTACACATGTGTCTACCAAGCACGAAGAGAACGCGTCATATGACAAGATCTGTGAGAGTTTTCACTCACGGGTTCACAATGCGTTTGTTAAAATCTTTGACGATTCCCTCTTACATAAATTCACTTACGATTCACTTACTTAATAAATTATGCGATGATTTCCTGTATCTATTTTCTCGCGATTCAGGTACTTAAATTAATAAACTTTCTAATAATCTAATTTTAATTCAATTAATTTGCGATTCAGTTACTTAATAAAATGTACGATTATTGTCTCTTGTTTACATTGTTTTGCGATTCAGCTTTACTCACATAAAGATACTATTACGTCACGGCTTATTCGATTGTATCATTCCTTCACGTTCAATAACTTTATATAAACAAACTAGGCCTTTCTCTCCACACTGTAGTCATAAGCGTGAAGCTGTGATGTGTTTGTTTTTGGTCTGTTTAATAACCAACCCAACCCAAATGAAAACAACAAGAGAAATGAAAGTGTTAAGAATTACACTAAGTCATTGGAGAGGTATATTATATGATAAATTATATAATGTAATTTAGGAATAGCAGCACAGGTATAGGTATAGATGCAATTATTATTATAGGTTCAGGTACAGTTATAGATATAAGTACAGTTATAGGTACAGTTATAGGTACAGTTATAGGTACTGTTATGCATGGTGCAATGTACAGTGGTGCGTTGCGTGCAGTGAAATATTTTTTTAGGTATGTTACCCTTAAGTAGTGTAAATAAGATATTTTTTGTAATTGTGTGTGAGCTGGGCTGGTACTTGATATATTAAAATATTTTCTGTGTGTATGTCGGTATTTTTGCAGCTTAATGTGGGAGTTGATTAGTATTAGGGTTATAGTCCCCTGGAGTATGGAGTATTATTATTATTATTATTATTATTATTATTATTTATATATATATATATATATATATATATATATATATATATATATATATATATATATATATATATATAGCCTATATAATAATAATAATAATAATAATTAACGGTTTATTGAAAGAGCTTGGCAGCCAGAAGGCTGAAAATATACAGTTACATATTTGGGGAATGGGTTTCGAATTACAAATAATATACAAGTAACATAAGTGACACAAATAAGACATATAATAACTAGATGGGGAAAAGCTCAAACTACAGTTCATTTCAACATAGTGACAGTGCAAGGAGTAGTGTTTACTGGGAGTGAATACACTATGTGTGTGTGTGTGTGTGTGTGTGTGTGTGTGTGTGTGTGTGTGCAAACATTTCTATAAATTTGGGGGCCCACTGATGAGTTTGGCCTGGGGCCCACAAGTAGGTAAATCCGGCCCTGAGGGCACATATGGCCCATATGTGCCCTCATTAGTATATTAATCTTTAACGTAATTCAAGTTGATAAGTCATGACATAACAGTACAGACACATATATCGGATATATAGGTACAGATACAGGTATAGGTACAAATAGAGGTAAAAGTACAGATAAAGATATGAGTACAGGTCTAATTACAAGTACAGTTACAGGTGTAGTGTACAGGTAAACCCCTCTCTTTGTCACGTCCACCAAGGTGTGTTAGTGATACCTGGTGAGGCAACTACACTCCCCCTCTCTCTCTCCTGTTACACTACACCCACACCTGCTCTCTCTCTCTCTCTCTCGTTCGTGTTTGTGTGTGTGTGTGTGTGTGTGTGTTTATGTGTCGCACACACACGCACACAGGAGTGGTTGCTTGTCATGGGTGGCCTTGTTCTGCCCGTGATAACTGCGGTAAACATAGGCGTCTCCGTTCTCTCCGGCCAAACACCGCGCCCAAATGCGTGCGCCCACGCCTATAGCACGCCCACTTTACCTGGAAACACGCAAGCCCATGCCCGTATCACCTCTAACAGTTCTCTCCACGCCCACACAACCCTCAACAGTTCTCCTCACCCAATGGCAACCCTGAAAAGTTCTCACGCCCACACAACCCTGAACAGTTTTTCTCACGCCCACACAACCCTCAACAGTTCTCCTCACGCCCACACAACCCTCAACAGTTCTCACGCCCACACAACCCTCAACAGTTCTCCTCACGCCCACACAACCCTCAACAGTTCTCACGCCCACACAACCCTCAACAGTTCTCCTCACGCCCACACAACCCTCAACAGTTCTCCTCACGCCCACACAATCCTCAACAATTCTCCTCACGCGCACACAATCCTCAACAATTCTCCTCGCGCCCACACAATCCTCAACAATTCTCCTCACGCGCACACAATCCTCAACAATTCTCCTCGCACCCACACAATCCTCAACAATTCTCCTCGCACCCACACAATCCTCAACAATTCTCCTCGCACCCACACAATCCACAACAATTCTCCTCACGCCCACACAATCCTCAACAATCCTCCTCGCGCCCACACAACCCTCAACAATTCTCCTCGCGCCCACACAATCCACGAACCTGTAGTTCTTTGTTTGTCACATTTGTTTACCTGCTACTGGTCATTTATTGGTTATGTATTGTTTGCTTGTTTGCTTGTTTGTTTGTTTATCGATATCTTCATATTTCAGTTCAACCGTTTACTTTCTTTGGTTGTTTTCTTCTACTACACTTTATTGTAAATTTATTCATCTCATTGTCCATTAATGCTTAATCATTTACTCATTAGTCTTGTTGGTTACGGTACCTCAATTAGGCCAGCAGGTAAGGAGGAGGGAGTGGGGGGAGGAAGTGGACGGGGGAAGAGGGGAGAAGAGAAGAAGGGCAGGAGGAGGAGGAGAAGTGGACGGGGGAAGAGGGGAGAAGAGAAGAAGGGCAGGAGGAGGAGGAGTGGTAACCTTATTTACGACCACCTAAATTCCTGACCATCAATGAAAGGTCAATAGAAGTTACCACACTACCATCCACCATCATGACCGGATCTTCAAGAAAATTTCACAGCTTATCTGCCGTGGAAACAAGTCGGCATTGAACTTTACCCGAGCAACATGTTATTAAGGAACCAACACCTCATACAGAGACACTGCGAATTCTCTGGCTATCTTCATTCTTTTCTTGTGTGGCTAATTTAACCCACAGGCTGGTTCTTCACCTTGCAGTCCATATACAAGCAACTTGGTCTTCACACCCTTAAGTTTGGTTCCTCTGGAGGATGACTGACACCCAAGATAATTCAGGTCACAAAAAATCGTGGACACTGCTCGCTGTCCAACCTAACCAAACTTAAACCCAGATCCACATATTTGAGGTATTTAGCAATTATCAAGTTGGGATGACAATGATCCCCAAAGAGGATGACAGATGCTTGATGTGGGATCATACAAGGGTTTCTACCCCAGATAATACATCTTCTCTGTAGTGCAGCCAGAGAAGGAGTCTAGTTTAAAAAATTTATTGACAAAGCTTGTAGTACAGTTTGCCTATTCTGAGTAATTCAGTCAGGTCTTGACACTGAGGGTGGTATCACTTCTCACTGCCACGCAGGACAGAGGTTCATACACAAAGAAATACAACATATTCATTAACAGCTATATATATATAGAGGTCAGATTCATGTGGGTAATGCCACTGTTCACTGCCATGCAGGACAGAGGTTCGTACACAAAGAAATGCATCATATTCATTGACACTATATATAGGTCAGATTCATGTGGGTAATGTCACTGTTCACTGCCATGCAGGACAGAGGTTCATACACAAAGAAATACAACATATTCAGTAACAGCTATATATATATAGAGGTCAGATTCATGTGGGTAATGTCACTGTTCACTGCCATGCAGGACAGAGGTTCATACACAAAGAAATACAACATATTCATTAACAGCTATATATATATAGAGGTCAGATTCATGTGGGTAATGCCACTGTTCACTGCCATGCAGGACAGAGGTTCGTACACAAAGAAATGCATCATATTCATTGACACTATATATACTGTAGGTCAGATTCATGTGGGTAATGTCACTGTTCACTGCCATGCAGGACAGAGGTTCGAAGGTACAGTCACCCTCAAAAATTCCCGTCACCTCTCCACCTGAACCATGAACCCTGAGATTCAGACTAGTGAACCTGAAGCAGTAAACATTGATGCATTAGTCTGTCCACATATGCTTCGGATTCTCGAGTCTGAATTCCGGGGGGTCGTGGATCAGGAGGAGAGGCAGCTGGAATTTTGTGGGTGACTACAATGAGGTTCAAGGAGTCTTAGAGAAATGAGAAATACGATCAGACTCCTGCAGGATCCTGGGGGTGACAGAGCTCCTAAATAATCTAAGCTCATTGATACCACGGAAAACTCCCAAACACCCAGCTATGTGTCACACCCCTTGTCCAAAGAGTTCAAGTAAAAGATAGGAAATGATAGAAAAGATTGAATAAAATTAAATGAAAAATACACGAATGAAAAATAAAGCCATCAGATATGACAGGGGTGGCAATTTTCACACGTTGACGTTATCATGAAAAATTATACCAATTTTCCGAGAGAGAGAGAGAGAGAGAGAGAGAGAGAGAGAGAGAGACTTTCTCCATGAATACTTGAGTCAGCGTGGAGACCTTCAGAAGTGTGGGACGCCCGTGGCATTCTACTCCCTCATATCCTCCTCCCCTTGTATCTTCCTACCCTCTTCCCCTGTACCCTCCTACCCTCTTCCCCCTGTACCCTCCTACCCTCTTCCCCCTGTACCCTCCTACCCTCTTCCCCTGTACCCTCCTACCCTCTTCCCCCTGTACCCTCCTACCCTCTTCCCCCTGTACCCTTCTACCCCCCTCCCTCTGTACCCCCTGTACCCTCCTTCTCCTCCAGTCACTCTCTCCAATAAAAACAATAACAACAACAGCATATCAAGTGATCCTCCCCAACACCACCACCAACATAAGTGGTCTTCCCCAACACCAACATAAGTGGTCTTCCCCACCACCAACATAAGTGGTCTTCCCCAACACCACCCCAGGGAGAGACACCGCCTGCTGGGGTCTACATGCTGACTAGCCCACTGGCCTACATTTACTCCACCAGTACCTTACCTGCCGCAGGTCCTACCAGGTATGCCGAGCACCAGGGAGAGTGATGGTGGTGGTTGTTGTAGTAGTGGTGATGGTGGTTGTTGATTGTGGTGGTTTTAGTGGTGATGGTGGTTGTAGTGGTGGTTGTGATGTTGATGGTGGTTGTAGTGATGATGGTGGATGTTGTGATGTTGATTGTGGTGATGGTTGTGGTTGTGATGGTGGTGGTGGTGGTTGTGATGTTGATTGTGGTGATGGTGGTGGTGGTTGTGGTGGTGATTGTGGTGATGGTTGTGGAAACAGGAAAACAGGTGTGTGTGTGTGTGTGTGTGTGTGTGTGTGTGTGTGTGTGTGTAGAGGGATAACTTGTTCCATTTAAAATAAATATTGGAAATGATATCCATTCCCAGTATTTACTGTAAACACAACAAAATAAATATCTACACTGTTAATTATATCAGGTGCAAAGGGAGTTTTGGATCACCTGAACTACACAAACACAGGCACACACGCGCGAGAGGGAGGCAGACAGACAAACAGGGATTGGGGGAAGGAAAGTAAGACAGACAGACAGACACACAGACACACAGACAGGAGGAGGGAGACAGACTGGTAGAGGAGAGAGATCAGTACTATACAGCATTCATCTTGAGACAAGACCATCTTCATCAACACTTGGAGAATGTCAACAAAATATTTAGGTGATGACTTGTAAGAACCCTGTCAAGATGTAGGTCAACGGGGCTCTCTCTCTCTCTCTTTCTCTCTCTCTTTCGTTCTCCCTACCGTCTCTTTTTCCCTCCCTCTATTCTTATATCTCTCTTCTTCTCTCTCTCTCCTTCTGTTCCCACAAGTTCATCCTCTTTCCTCTTTCCTCTTCCCTCTCCTCTTCCTCCTCTCAACCCCTCACCCATCTCCTCGCTCCCCCTCACCCTGTCTCTTACCTGATAGTGGGAACAGTGCGCTTGATCAACGTTTATTTCCACACACACACACAACTGTTGCTCAGTAATGTCATTGTATTGAACTGTTGTACACCGTGTTATATCTAGTTAGTTAAGTCTCATACTAAAGATAAAACCATGTCAGTATGTCTAGTTCAGCATGTTAAGAACAAGTTGTACTATAATACTCTTACACTCAATGCCTTCAAGGAAATTAGTCCCTAAATTAACAATGCCAATTATTAACACGTCCTTAAATGATTTTAAATGGCTTCTTAAGTGAAAGTTAAATACTGTATGTACCGGAAGCCATGAGAGACGCTCTAGTAGGCCAAAATGTATGCCAATATCACATCGCCCTACTTCTTTGTCGTCAAGAGAGAGAGAGAGACGCACACACACACTAATATAATTTGTGGCGTCATGGACAATAAGCCTATTTATTAGCCATGAAATGTTTTTCGACAACTTGTGACGTCACGACTGCTGACAGAGCTGATAGGCCCGCAGAGGATGATGCATCAGTGGGATCATGAGTATCGGGTTCTCTCATTGGCTGCCTGTATCTCCCAACTTAGTCAACAGCCTTTCATTGGTCAAGGGATGCGGGGCTCGCGTATGTTTTGTTTTTATTTTGAGCGCCTCAAAATTGTCTAAATAAGGTAATTTGTAAACAAGCTGGACCGGAACCAGTATGAGGGAAGAGGAGAGAGAGAGGACGGGAGGGGAGAGGAGGAAGAGAAGGGGAGAGGGGAGGGAAAGAGCTGCATTATAGTTAAAGAAAAACACTGTCTTTCGTTCTTCTTCTTCGAGAGAGAGAGCACACCCACAGCGGCATATAATTACCTACACGTAGTACTTACTGTTCGTGGAGGCCACATGAGCACATCTGGCGTCCCCAGCCCCCCACCCGTCCGTCCCCATCAGTCCGGCCGCCCCCATCTGTCCGCCCCCCCAATCTGTTCGTTCGCCCATCTGTTGACCCACTTAGACGTAAAAGACACTTATGAGAAAAACTTACTCCGTCAGGTTACCAAAAGCTGATCTAACTCCTGGTCGACGAGGCCATGATAATGGGCATGACGTCACGCTACTACTATCGTATATACAGTAAACAATGACGTCACGCTACTACTACAGGTGGGTGTAGGCTACTACAAGCTGGCTACTGCAATTGCATGATAAACATTTTATGACAGCTACAGTTAGGCCTTGACTAACTGGTGCCTCGCTGTGATGTCACGTAGACAACAGGTATGTCTTGGTATTTTCTTACTCCCCCTCCATCTTTGTTTATACGTGGCCTTGTTTTCACTGTTTGTTTACTGAAGCGTTCACATCTGTTTACAACTCTTCTACACAAGCCACATAAGCGTTCCCATGTTTACAACTCTTCTACACAAGCGTTCTACTCTGCACTCGTTGACACACGTGGTCGACCATCAGACACACGTAGAGTCTAGTATGACCTTTGATGATCATTGTAGGTCTGCACTCAAAAAAAAAGAAAATGTCGTTCAGGTATGTTGGGAGACAAAAGACCAGTGTGTCGAATAATATGTCTCGAAGCTATTCAAGGCCCAGATTTTCAGAGATTCTTAAGATAAATTCTCTCCCTAGCTAGTTCTTTGAAAACGTAACTAACTCACTTAAGCTACGACACAAATGTAGGTTCTCAAAATGTACCTACGATAAATTTTCCTCCATAACTAGTGATAAGAAAACGTATCTTTCTCACACGGTAACGAACAGAGATGACGTCATAATTGTTGTTGAAAATCAGCTGGGAGTTTTATCGTAACTATATAAATGCAATCTCTTATACGTCTTGTGACGAACCTTTGAGAATGGACTCTGGCCGTTAATGTAATTGATAACACAATTACAGTACCTAACACCATAACTATCTCTCTCTTACAACGGTACTGACGCGGTTCATCACTACAGTAGTTCTCTCTCAGTATAACAGCGTCAAAGTCACTACTGAAGGTGTCAGGTAGGACAGGTGAAGAACAGGTCGACCTTGACGCAGGAAACTCTTGATCAACAGAGACACCTGAACCCTGTTTACTTACACCATCCACGCCCCTGCCCCCTGCCCACACTCTCCCACAGCCCACGTACAGACATGCATTACTAAGCCCACACATACCAATAGACACGCCCGTAAATGTAATTATGACCACGGGTATAACCACGGCTATGTACGGACAACGGTAATATCAACACCTACACACCATCACTCTCTCCCTCAACCACCTGCTTGAGCTGTCTGGACACTACACCCCCACCATATGACTCCATACTGCGCCTACCACCAAACATGGCGACAGACATACTGGCTGGCACACAAATAGATAAAATGGCATACAGACAGATATAATGACATAGACTTACAGATATAATGACATAGACTTACAGACAGATATAATGACATACAGAATTATACACAGAGACTGACATACAGACTGACAAAGACTTATACACAACCAGACAGACGAAGACAGACACCACCTCGAGTTAACTACTGCCAGGGAGTGGTAAGTGTACAGTATCGGCTGGTAAACAGTAACGACCATTAGCAGGTTCTCACGGCACACTTCACCTGGCAGGTGACCGGATAAAACCCCAACGGACAAAACCCCAGTCTCATATAGAAAATAAAACACTTTTATGTTTAGGTTAGGTTAGGTTAGTGTTGGCAAATGCCAAACCCATTGGGGTTTTGTCATGGAACCACCTGGCCAGAGCTGTTGTCAGGCGTGTCGGGTGGATGGCCAACAACTATTATCACCCGAACGCGAAAATCCTCCAACATTTAAGTCAGGATAGGCTTGATTAATGCTGCCACAAGCAGGGAGACAGGTAAGCTCCCCTTTCCCCGTAGAGTTGCACCAGGCTTTGTTGACGTTCGACCAGGATATGCCAATATTACGCTGAATCCGGATTTTTTCAAAGGTTCGTACGTTACTGAATACGTTGATCTACGAATCTTTTCTGTCCGCAACAAGCAAACGATTAACTACCTAATAACCTTGTTTAGAGAGTCATTTGAATTTTAGACACATTTGATTAACTGTACAACAGAAAAACATTCACATGAAAAATACGTTATATCTAACGCTAAATTAATGAAAAAAATAATATCTTATTCGGACGACATATGACAACAATTAAAAGCTATAGTTGTGATATTATAATGAAAATCTCACAATAAAACATTAAGTGGCACCACACATACTAGTATACGTCACCCATTCATGAGGTGAAGTCAGCTGACGACCAACACCACCAACACGGCAACACTCGCCCTAAACAACCGTGCCTGCAAGGCTCACTATTGCCTGCTGTCAGAAGAATATTAATAAAGCCAGACATTGGAATTAGCCTATATTTGTTATCTTTAGGTTAACAATATACTGTGTTCGAGCTGTGTTGTACTGTACTATGCTGTGTTGTGTTGTGCTGTGATCTATGTACAGTAATGGGGCAACAGCTTTTTACTAATAAATGTCGACATTGAAATATTTACATCTCTTACGATTTATTATTTTTCATCTTTTAGTTGGAAAATTTTCAGAACCATTCGACTTTCTTTTAAGTATTTATTTATTTTGATCTTGCTAGATGAAATTAATAGTAGGCGGCCTGTATGTGTGTGACTGCGTGTTGCCAAAGTGGACACAAAATTAGGATCAGTTCAGAAGGATTAAAAGTTGTCACGATAGTTTTTCGACACACACACACTTATCAAGCACTATTACAATATGCATCATCAATATGTAATACCACCACTACCACTACAACCAGCACCAGCACTACAACCAGCACCAATACTACCAGCACTACAACCAGCATCAATACTACCAGCACTACAACCAGCACTACTTCCAGCACCACTACCACTACTACCAGCACTACAACCAGCACCACTATCACTACTACCGGCACTACAACCAGCACCACGACCACTACTACCAGCACTACAACCAGCACCACTACCACTACAACCATCACTACTACCACTACAACAAGCACCACTACAACCAGCACCACTACCACTACTACCAGCACTACAACCAGCACCACGACCACTACTACCAGCACTACAACCAGCACCACTACCACTACAACCATCACTACTACCACTACAACAAGCACCACTACAATCACCACCACTACCACTACTACCAGCACCACTACCACGACTACCAGCATTACTACCAACACCACTACCAATATTACCAGCACCATTACCACTACTACCAGATAATCCCAAGAGGGTCTTTCATTACAGATGTGTTCCAGACCTCATGGAACGGTTGATCTGAGTACATATCTCAGGGGACAAGTAACTACTACAGGTGTTGTGCAAATTGCTACACACCTATTGAACAAGTGCCAATAAAGGGCCTGATGACGCAGAGTTGTGTCAATATTTCCGAATACTTACATTTCTTAATTAGACAACACACATGCTAATGCTTACTACTGTAGTCTGGGATGTCATCCATTTTCTATAATGTAAATCTCCGATTTAATATTCTTGAGTCCTTAATGAATTCACAGCATAAAACGAACGATAAATTCAACGGGTTACTGAAATACACGTATACACACAAGAGAGGAACGTCTTCAAGAAACCAATAAGACGGTATGAATAGTTCACCGTAGATAAGTGAGATTCTTGAGGCGATGAACGGCACCTGCCCACCTCACTCACCTGTATTTCACGTTGGACGACTCGTTTCTACCACTTCTTTGATGAAATGTCCCACCGGTCATTCGCGATTCTATGAATTCCAATTTGTTGTATATTTGGCCTTGTCGTATGCGTAAAAAACACTCACGCAGTGGCTAACTACATGTAATTAGCCAGTGTTGTGGTTGGTATCAACGGCACAACTCCCCTCCACCTGATATATTTGAGTGCACTGACTCGCTCTTCCTCTCCCAAGCTTGACACCGACTCTCCATGACCGGTCCGCCCAAACTGTCGTACGCTTACCCGCATCCTGTGTCCATAAATGATTACCCTGATTAAAGCATGGTCTACCACTGACAATGACAAAAGAAAAAGTTTTTACTGGGTCTCGTAATTATTTTGAATCTGAATTACATAAAAAATTCAGTAAATCACCTTGTTTCCAAATAAACAAGATAGTGATATGAACCTAATTCACGTGGAATGTTTGGATAAAAAAAAATGGGGCCATGAAGAATATGTAGGAACAATAGCCCAGGTAATGCAGACCATCGGTAGAAACTTACAAAAAATAGTAATGACATCATAAATTTGAGAACGAAGAATACAAGAGACAAATTGGTAGATTGTTTAGAGATATAGAAGACAGTGGTATGTGCCTGGCAGCAAGAGGAGGGGGGGGCCTCGTGTGGGAGACTTGGATGAGCTAAACGAGTGATCAACAAATGATGCTTCACCACCACCTCTATACCCGATATTTTACCTCCCCGCAAATTCCTAGAACATTAAATGGCCCAGTTTTCCTTTTTTGGGGGGGCAGAGTATTCAAGATTCTTTACCAGAGTTAATTTTCAGTGAAATTTAGTTGAGACCGTATTCCATGTTCTGTTCGGTCGTTTGGAATTTAAAAGAAACTTAATTAAACTAGTCGGTCAACTCTTGCAATGTCGTCGGTTTGTGGACAAGTCCGGTAACCATTCTAATTTTAATTTTTTTTTTTTACAAGTTCCGGCAAATGATAGGCTCTTTAAAGTGATAATGTATGTGTATATTTGTATACATGTGTGTGTGCCTCCTTGTGTATGCATACGGTATGTTTGGATATACTCATGTGTACACCTGCTGGGCCATACAGGTGTACAGGGTATATGATGGAACCCCTTCAAACAATAACACAGGACACCTTCCTCTAACACACACGCACCAACCCTCCAACACCCACACCAATCCTCCAACAATCACACCAACCCTCCAACACCCACACCAACCCTCCAACACCCACACTAATCCTCCAACAATCACACCAACCCTCCAACATGCACACCAACCCTCCAACACACAACGAACCCTCTAACACACACACACATATACAAGTTTTAACGCTGGTCAACAAGGAATGGCTCTCTAAATTCAGTAAAACGAATGAATTACTATCTTCATAAAACCTAGAAATTGGCGTTTCATGTCGTCTAATACTCCCAAGGTGTGAGGACGTTCCTCAGGCACGTGTGTGAGGATGGTCCCAACTCACCGAAAACCTTGTTCTCTGATGCCGAGCTGTCAAATGAAAATTTCCGGATCAATTGGTTCTCTGCCTAAAAAGACCTTAATCTTAATCACCCTTGAGTCAATATGGTATTGAGCATTACAATCGGAGCCCATTCAAATTGGGATCCATTGGAATTAGTACAGTACTGGATTGGGACCTGTTATATCGTTCTCGCATTGTTCGCCAGTAATGGACGATTAGCCAATCGGAGCGCACTGACGGTAAAATAGCATTAGTAGGAACTTAGCCGGTCATGGTAAAATATCCACTGCCCTTTTTTTTTTAAGTATATTACCCCCACATGTTTCTTCTACTTCAATACCCTGCCCATGGGCGCTGGGGTGACCGTAGATGTAGGGGACCACGTTGCCTGCCACCCACAATAGTACGATTGGAGTGATTGCAATAATTTTTTGCCTAAAATACCAGTTTTTGACTGCAAATTATTAGTCTTTTTTGCCAAAATATGCCCGTGGGGAAGGGGGGTTCCTATGTTAACCAGGGCATAAGGGTTAACAAGGGATTCAGTATTAACATAAGAGACATTAAAACTGTATTGACTTACTTAGACGATACAAAGGGTTTGCTCTTTCACATTCCAGGACTCCAAGAATGGAATATATAAGGTATAAATTAAACCAAAAATATAGATACACTTGTATTCAATAACAGTACTCATCTAGGAACTGTATTTCTTTAATAATTACATTTAAAAGATAAGACATTAACTAACACTCACAAAAAAAATAATTTATCAAGTACATGCAAAAACTTTTTTTGAGTTAAGAAAAAATAAAATGTACAGCTCCTACCTTTCCAATGTCAAGTGGAAAGTACATACTGAATTTTACATGCACTAAAATGTGCAAAGTAAAGTGACTTTATTAAGTGTCCATAAAACATAAAAATCACTTGTGATAAAAATCATTATAACAGAAAGATAAGAAAAATAATATTCAAAATAATAACTTTAAGAACAGCATCAATTACAATACAAAAATGTTACTTGAACAGTATGTATAACTATTAACAAATACAAAATGTCAAATTTTGGGTATTCTCTTGAAGTCATTTACTGTGTTTGACCTGTGTCACTATTGTTTGTTGTTGCTGACTCTGGGCTGTTATTTCTCAAACTCCACAAAATTAAAAAAAATGGTTACAAATGACACAGTAACCATCCAATCTTTGGCAGGACCTTGGGACTGTCAACTGTTCACTGAGGCAAAGAATGATCAACCCCCTTATCCCAGCACAGTTATATATAATGTAGCACAGATTAAACAATTATTTCATTTTATCATAAATCTGTATGTTAGATACAATTAAAGATACAGAAAGTATAATAAAATGATTATAAAATAATAGAAAAATTATTCTGAACATTATTATAATGTACACTGTAGTATGCACAGTAAAAATAGGCACTGTAATGTACAATAACCATTGTACAGTACAAGAAAGGAAAAATCCAAGTGGTTCAGACAATACATTTTGTACTTAACACAGGCTGTAAGTTAAGCCAATTAACTTTGCTTTTGAATTCAGTCAATTCATTGTAAGTTTTTATGGTGGGTATAATTATGTTTGTAATGTTTCCATTCACTCACATACAACAAAAGATTGGGAGGAGACTTTGCCATGTGCGAGGTTCCTCCTCATGGTACGTCCCCCATTTTGTTTTCTACTGTAGGTACTGTATATATATTTAATTTCATTTACTTTCATTTTTAAAATACAGTAAACAGTTTCTATGTCAAGACAAACTAATTGCTTTATTTTCTTTGGGATGGACAAATATCAAAACAAATTCTTTATAATGAGACTTTTGTTTGTATTCAATGTTGTGGCATTATTTTTATATTACTTCAGAATGCAAAAAAATGGATGGTTACTGTTCTTATTATACATGATGATACATAACATCCAAAGAAAATAAATGTCACACAATGAACTGTTATATCATAAACCAGTCAGGCGAAATAATGTAAATGTTAACCAAAGAGGTCAAAATGAACCTGCTGACAAGCTCCATTTATGGTAAGGCCCAACTGCCTGAGGATGTGTAGATGATATGCTCACATACCAAGCAAGCTATTACCAACTACAGTATGGGCAGATTAAACAATACCTTTACACCGATTTTTCCTTCTAAAGACAACGTGAAGTAACACCTTACTAAGACACCTACTGCAACCCAGATACTGTACTGACTTATGGGAACCAAAAAGTAAAATTTATATATAAAAATAAATAAAATAGAAAGCAGCTTCCTGGTTGAACTAGCAACTAACTGCAGCTGAGTTAATTGTGCTGACTGGTGAGTGAGGTGCTATAAATATCTAAATGAGATAAAACTATACTTAAGGTTACCAAGGAAGACTAGTCAAGCACTGAAAGACCCAAAAGTTTCACAAATTACTTGAGTTTTTTTTCCTTTTCTTTCTTTTAAGATTATGAAGCAAAAAAAAATGACAATCAAGTTTTCACCTAAATAAACTCTTATATAAATCTACTGTGTCACTGATTACACAAATGTTTTAATTGATTGTTCAAGAATGAAATCATCCAAAAGTTGTTTTGAGCAAACAGTTATGACCAGATAATTAAAGTAGAAATTTTCACCTAATATCAACATTGTTATACTGGTTAAGTAACATCACCTTTGGCTTGTTACAATCATGAACATAGTTTTTTTTTTCTAAAAAGTTGTTTGATTTGACACTGCCTCATACACATCTAGAGATAATTTCTTGTTATACTGTACTAGCAGTGGGAAACTGCTTTAACTGTAAAGGTATGAAGTTTCCAGCCCTTGATTGTTGGAATCTGATATTAAATATGATGTACATATAATAGTACTGTACTGTATATGTTGTGTGACCAAAGTGCTCAAAGGAGGATGTTACATACAACAATATTCAAAAAAGGTTAAGGGGCCATATCAAAGTTAGAATGATAATGTTTTAAGAGCCCTTGTGTACATGTGTGTTTATTGGGCGACATGTCTGTCCAACCTATACTTGAAGTTTCCTAGGGAGTTCAAGTTAATGGTAACCTGTTCCACTCATCCACAACTCTATTTCCAAGCCAATGTTTACCTATCTCACACCAAATCTAAATTTGTCTAATTTAAAAGCATTGCTATGTGTTTGCTCCGGGTTTGATAGTTTAAGTACTTAAGTTATATCACCTTTATTTAACCCCAGCATCTATTTATAAACCTTCAATCATAATATCCCTCACTCTGCATCTCTTACCTTTAGCACTGATCATTAAGCAGCTACAAAAATTCATGTAGGCTGGGGGATTTATCGTACAGAGCATCTCAAAAAAATGTATACACACTCTTACAGATTTTTTGGGGCAATTATGTGTATGCTTAAATTACTACAGCAATATTGTCCTCACTTGTTGTTGAATGAGGTCTCACACACCATTGTGGGAGACCTCACATACCAACAAGCATTCTCACAATTGCTATAAAAACCTGTAAGGCAGAGCGCACGCACACACACCAATTCCCCCATTAACATCCTTGTTAGGTTCCTGAAAACCCCAACTTTAAGTAAAAAAAATTTACCATAGAGACAATGATATAAATAGGGGTTATGTTCCTTGGGTACATTTCTGGTCAAACTTTTCTCATAACTTATCACAAATGTTTCACTTTAATCACTATCACCTTCTTCTTGTTTTAAAGTTTCA